CTTGTCACAGAACTTATTAAAGGGGCTTGTGACAGAACTTATTAAAGGGGCTTGTCACAGAACTTATTAAAGGGACTTGTGGCTGAACTTATTAAAGGGGCATGTCACAGAACTTATTAAAGGGACTTGTCGCAGAACTTATTTAAGGGGCTTTTTACAGAACTTATTAAAGGGACTTTACAGATGTAAATATGATCTATAGAACTTATTAAAGGGGCTTTTTACCGAAATTATTAAAGTGGCATGTCACAGAACTTATTAAAGGGGCTTGTGGCTGAACTTATTAAAGGGACTTGCCACAGAACTTATCAAAGGGGCGTGTTGCTGAACTTATTAAAGAGACTTTACAGATGTAAATATGGTCTATAGAACTTATTAAAGAGGCTGTACATATGTAACAGAGCTAATTAAAGGGACTGTCAACGTGATTTTAAATGACCCTCCATTTAAAAGAGTCATATGCCAGATTTACAACAATGCCCGTTAACTGTTATCTGATTAACACTAATAAAAAATATTGTTGTTTTTATAACAACAAAATCAATTCTGTTTATCTTAAGCTGATTACATCATAGATAAATTTCATAATAATGGTTTAACATATCTATCTATCTATCTATCTATTTATCTATCCGTCTATCTATCTGCCTATCTATCTATCTATTATTATGTATTTTTGTTAAAACTAAAAATTAACAAAGAAAACTATATTCCAAACGCCTCAGCAAGAAACTTTTGAATCTCTAAGGTTAATCTTCCAGCAAGGAGAGAATAAGATTAAATCATTAAATTATTTTATAAACTTCCAGCTATGAAATGGTGAGAAGGCCAAAATTAAAATATTTTGTCGAAAAAAATATAATCTTTTGGTTAATTAAACAATAATTGGATAAAGCAATTAGAGTAGCGGGTAATTAGTGGAACTAAATCCTACAAATTAATACAAGCCTAATTAGGTCTTTAACAGATTGCTAGCGGGCAAAATAAAACAAAGGAATTGAGTTGTTGCCACAAACTCAAATTTTCTAATCCCTGCATCTCTGCAATCTTCAGGTGTAAACCTTTGATATTTCAAACTTAGACTTTTTGACGGAATTCACAGTTTGAAATATCTAAGGTCTGCGACATTGGGGTGCAAAAATTTCGTGATTAGAATATTAGATTTTTGGCAAAGACTCAATTCCTTTAAAAATATAAAAGTAAAGGTGATCATTTAACCCAGATATTTTTGATGATCGTTTTATATCTGATTTTAAACTATTATCTATCATAAAATATTCTGTTTTACGTAAACTAATTTAATCTGATGTGTATGGTAGCCCCATAGCCGGAAAAACTTTAACACTTTTATAGATGTAACAAAAATAATGGATGTTACAAATACCCCTCCCCCTCTCCCTGGGTAACATAAGCTAGGTGGCAAATCCCCTAATTTTGAGATTCTTTTACGATTTTTTTAGATTTTCTTTTTAGATTTTTAGAATTAAAATTTTCTTGATGAATACCATTTATTTCATAATATGTCTTAAAATTCTACGCATTTACAGATAGTTATAATAATTGTGTCGGACGTTTAATCATTAACTGAAGGCCGAAATCGGAAATTTAATTGACACGAGACAGGATTCACACAAGATGGTGTCTTTTTTTTAAATCTTTGCAATTTTGATGTTTATTTAATGAGCAATTCTCAAAAAGTTTTAAAACCATTTTTAGATTAATTAATTTATTAATAAAAGCAACTTTCATAATTTAAAAAATGAATGTTTTCAAAACAGCATTTTAATCATTGATAAATATTTTAATTTCTGTCTCTACGAGAATTGTTTATTTACTGTGTACTGCATAGTTAGTGATGGGCATTGGGAATTGTTTTATAAAATATTTTTATCTTTTATATGTTCAACATTTTACTCTGACACATTAAACTGTGGAATAGGATTTTAACTAAATAAGTTGATTTTAAAGCAATTAGTATAGATGTTTGCTTAAAACAACATCAAATACACATAGGATTGCTTAAATGTCGTCTTATTGATTCACTGTTATATGGGTACCACTGTAAGATAAAAGGCCTAGAAGAAAAATGAACAAAAAATGGTTGAATTGTTTAAATTAAATTAATTAATTAAGCAAAATGTGATTAAAGCAAATTTATACAGATAACAATTTTGAATTATAAGAAATGATCTTAAAGTAAAAATAATAACAATCTCCATATATGTATGCGCAGCTGATATATTATCCCTGTATCCTTGTATCATATCATTTACTCCATATGGTCTAGTTTATATACATACAGTATATGTATTATGTATTGTGTACAGACTAAGATATATACGTAATGTGGAAATGTTATATAAAGGGTGTTGAAAAAAAACCACTTCACACTTTTTTCTCTTAATTATTAACATTATTATGAAATTTATATCACAATGTCTTCTGTATAGGATGGTAGGATTACATGGGTCAAAAATATATAAGATTTGGTGAACCCTGCTCTTTATCTCTTGAGAACCCAGCTTTACCTAAAACCTAAACCTGTGTTAATATTTTAACTTAAAATTTTAAGACTATTTCCGTGGTTCTATTGAGTGCCCCTAACAAAATTTGAGACAAATCGTCCTGGGGTTTATGAGTTATGATCGGACATCCAAACTAACGCACATAACTACTTTAAATTTAAAGAATAGATGTAGTAAATGTCCTACTCCATAACAGTTTCTCGAACAAGTATCTATCCAGGTGCAACTCAAATTCTCTTGACTATCAATGTTAACCCACGGCTACAATCCCGTGAACTATCAACGCCACTACCACCGGGTGCGATCTCATAAACTATCAATGTCTCAACCAGGACACAATCCACACGGCTACACTCCCGTAAACTAATACATGATCCTCAACCTGTTTATCAAAATAGGGAACAATTACTCTATCGCAGTAAATAGTACGGAGTCTCTATATCAACTAATGTATTTAAGGTTTACAAGTTAAAGTTAATAGACGTAATTACAATTCCTACATCATTATATTTATCACATGGTTAAGGCAATCATATTACGCATTACAGCACAGTTGAAATAGTCGTAATTAAGAAGTACGTCATTATATATATATATATATATATATATATCACATGATTAAGGCAATCATGTTACGTATTACAGCTAAATCTGTTAAATTCAACCTGATTTAGTACCCTGGAAACCTTAGTCTGATCAAAAATGTGGAAGATAACGTCGATTTTCTGACTCTAAAAGGGGCTTAATAAACACTTTACAAACCAAAAACATGGAATTTTAATTTATACTTGATCAGACAAAGCTTATAAGGATACCGTTGTAAATCGCACATTGACATCTCTGCATGAAGGGTTGAAATAACGTTTACAGTCCCTTTAAAATTTTTTATTTTAGGCCATTAATGAACCGCAGAGGAAGGTTTATTGGAACTCATCTAGATCTGTTGGGAGCTGCATCTTCAATCTTCCAGGTTCAGTACTCTATATATATATATAAGACTTTTACAGTGCTTCATACAGTCACACCCTCTTTCCTATTAACAAGTATAGCTTTCAACTCGTCATTTTTAATCGTTCGCAAACTTTCGTGGATTTTATCTGTTTAAATAGGTGCATTTTCAAAAATAACAAATCTTGACCTTTTTCCGGTCCAAATTTGTCAACTTTGACCAAATTTGTCAAGTTGACAAAATTTGTCAACCTTGTGAGTTGCGTAAAAAATTCGACTTGATCGGTTCAGACGTTTTTACGTTATTAGATACAAACAAACAAGCAAACATATAAAACCTAGAAAAGGAAAGTAAAATAGAAAATATATATTATAATTAAAATAAAACAAAAATGGACACTAGCAATGCTGTAGACAACCCGAACTCGAATACCGATACGACTGAAGAACTATTTTACAGAAACATCGGATTGAATTGATTTGAAACACAATTTTGGGTTATTTTATACCATCTTGATTTCTTTAAGACCGCTTCCTTTAGTTTAAGTATGAGACCCGTGTTTACGTTTTATGATATCTTATTATAAACATTTTTTTAAGATGATTATTTTTTTTTAGAATTATGCGAATAGAAGAATAGATGTAGCAGACGCCGAGGATGTAGAATATGTTGATGTCTCGGATGATGAATCTAATGATGATGATGATATTGATGATCATGATGATACTGTCGATTATATTGATGATGATGATATTGTGGATGAAGCTACTGCTGATAAACTGATCAGTGCATCTCCTGAAGATCTAAAAGAATCCGACACAATAAGGTTTTTTCACAAATTAATCGATTTTCCTTAGAATACGAACATTAGTTTATGATATCCCTTAGAATACGAACATTAGTTTATGATATCCCTTAGAATACGAACATTAGTTTATGATATCCCTTAGAATACGAACATTAGTTTATGATATCGTCTTCAATGTTTAATTTGGTAAATACACTATAACAGAAAGAAGCTCAATATTTTGAATGAATTATGAGATAAAATGCGAACACAATCAAGACCTATGCAAAGGGACTGTAAAGGAAAAATGAAAGGGGGTATGGATGGAACCTGATAACCTCAGGCGTGGAACGATACATATAAGACATCTATCTGATGTTCCTGTCTCGAGAAATCGATATAAAACTGTGTCAAATTTATATGATAGATGTCTTATAGGTATGATTCAACGCCTGAGATTCTAAGGTTTTATCCTATACCCCCTTTCATTTTTCCTTTACAGTCCCTTTAATATAATTTATTTAGCATGAGAGACACCATGATATGCCATTTAATTGGTTGGCCTTAATTAATGGGACTGTTGTCGTAAATGTGACTTTTTATTTAAAAAGTGGAATATCCGATTTGTCGTTTATCTAGAAACTTAACTTTGCATTTCTGCTTCAGAAACAATGTAGAAAACTATAAGAATTAAACATGTGGATCTCTTCAAATAGAGGGTCTCTTAAATTAACAGTATTTTTCAACTTTTAAGATTTTCGTCTCAATTTTTACAAATTTTGTTTTACAGGAGTATGGCAGAAAATTTAGACATTCTTGAATCTTTTGGCGAAAAGATTAACAATAAGGTAATATACAGCGAAACCCATAAAACTGTAGAATAGAAAGACGACATTCAAGCAAACTTATGTGTTCTTGAGGTTGGTATAAAGTAAATAGTTTTAGTAGCTTGAAAAATAAACTTAGTTAGGGGGTCAAAGTTTACACTATTGCTGTTTTCATAATTGAGATTAATAGTCGTCTTCCTATTCCAGTTGTTTTTAGGTCACACTGTAGAAAGTTAAAAGTGATTTACCAAGTTTTGAAATTATTAAAAAATTTAATATTTAAAATAAAATTCTCCATGACAACCACAATCTGAACTGAGCCAATAATTCCCATTGGGCGCGCATTGGATTTCAAAATAGACTGAACAAAAATACGAGTATTTTCATGAGGCAAAGTTAAATGTTCTAATTTAACTCTTTATTTTTATCGAAAACTAAACATGTCATTATCTTATGCCGCCTGAAACAAAGACGATATATAAAAGTCGTTAATTTAACCCCAAGTTTTTTGGGACACCCTCTGTAAAATGTTGTACAGTGGTCAGCGTTTATTTTAATACAATGATAACATCTTTCTATGTGTAGGATACTGAATCCTATGTTGTACAGTGGTCAGCGTTTATTTTAATACAATGATAACATCTTTCTATGTGTAGGATACTGAATCCTATATCTTTCTATGTGTAGGATACTGAATCCTATATCTTTCTATGTGTAGGATACTGAATCCTATATCTTTCTATGTGTAGGATACTGAATCCTATATCTTTCTATGTGTAGGATACTGAATCCTATGTTGTACAGTGGTCAGCGTTTATTTTAATACAATGATACCATCTTTCTATGTGTAGGATACTGAATCCTATATCTTTCTATGTGTAGGATACTGAATCCTATATCTTTCTATGTGTAGGATACTGAATCCTATATCTTTCTATGTGTAGGATACTGAATCCTATATCTTTCTATGTGTAGGATACTGAATCCTATGAGGATCCACGAGAACAGTCCAACTCTTTGTACACAAGTGAACAGGAAGGTGAAAAAAAACATTTTTATTTTGATAAATTTTAGAATACAACGCGCCCAATTCAACTCAGTTGCATGGAGCATTTGTTACATTTATCTACAGTGAAACCCTTAATAACGAATACACTGTCTTATAATGGAATGTTGCAGATATTTAGTTTTTTAATTAAATGATTATATGGAAGTCTTTAAAACTGTTCCCGCATAATCTTGGATATTTATTTATTTTCGCAAATACTGAAATTTACGTAATATAGTATAAAACTCATTGAAAAATTGTCAAGACGACATTTGATAAATTCTTACGATGTATTCGTTATTAAGGGTTTCACTGTATCTTCTTCTTAACACATTATTATGTAATAGCCAAACCCCCTTTATAGGTCGTAAACTGGTATTTCAAAATTCTAAAATAGGTTTAGAAAACATTTTTGATTGAAAAAGCCATGCTTTTTGTTCAGTCATTTCCCACGCAAAGTTTGGTTCAGCTGTTACGACGTTACTAAGGAACAAACAAACACTAACAAATTATATTATAAAACTAATAGCATGGGAATCCAGCTTTGCTTGTTTTTTTTCTATAACTCTCACTCTCGACTCAACCCCATGAAAGTTTTAGTGGTTCTACCGCACATTGGTCCAATCATTGCATGGTCCGGTACAACATGTATTGTATATGTATTCAGTCGTACTCTCCAGTCTGGACTACCAAGTATTGAATCGACCCATCACGTTTTATGCAATAAATGTAGCCTGGCATGATTACAGTGACCGAATTCCACAATTTGAGACCAATCGGTCAGGACGTTCACGAGTTATGATCGTGCATCCAAACAAACAGACAGCAGTGAGACAGACAGAGATTACTAAATTATGTACAATGGTCGGCGTGTATATTGATACAATGAAGACGACTTTTTTGTTTAAGATTTGATTGTTAACAAGTGGTTTCTGAATTCCAAGTTTACAAGTAATCAAAGAAAAGCTTTTCTAATTGAAAGCTTCTCTTGACTTCTATGTTTATGTGTATCCATCCATGCTGTTTAAAACTGTACAATTGCTATGTCTAATGTTCATTGAACTAGTTAAAATACTAACTTTAGCTTTAAAGTCATCTTCCTATTTCAGAGTTTTCTGGTTATCACTGTAATATATATATTCTTGTATTCTAGGAACTCCTGACTCCCTAGTCTTTATCTGTTCTGTATATATATATATATATTCTTGTATTCTAGGAACTCCTGAATCCCTAGTCTTTATCTGTTCTGATCCTCTCAACTGCCCTCCTCCATACGGTAATATACATTAAAGGAACTGTTTAAGGGACTGTTAAAGGGTCTATTAAAGGGACTGTAAGCTTACTTTCAGAGTAACCCTCGGTGCAAAGATGACAATGCCCAATTTAGAGCTGTCCCTTAAAAGCTTTGTCTGATCAAGTTTAAATTAAACATTAAAGTTTATAAGTTTAAAAACTGATTATTTTCAATTGTGGTTTCACCACAAAAGTGACCAGCAGGAAAATACATAGAAATTAACAGAATTAAACACTTTTAAACCTGGAGAACGACAATATCTTCGACATTATTGATCAGATATAAGTTTCAAGGATACCGTTTAAGAGAATTATTAACGTAATATGGATTAAAGGGATTATTAACCTAATATGGGTTAAAGGGATTATTAACGTAATATGGATTAAAGGGATTATTAACCTAATATGGATTAAAGGGATTATTAACGTAATATGGATTAAAGGGATTATTATAGATTAAAGGTATTATTAAACTAATATGGATTAAAGGGATTATTAACCTAATATAGATTAAAGGGATTATTAACCTAATATAGATTAAAGGGATTATTAACCTAATATAGATTAAAGGGATTATTAACCTAATATGGATTTAAGGTATTTTTAACATGATATGGTTTAAAGGGATTATTAACGTAATATAGATTAAAGGGATTATTAACGTAATATGGATTAAAGGGATAACTAATACGGCTTAAAGGGATAATTAACGTAATATGCTAGAATAACCTGAACTTGAAAGAAATAATTAACGGAGATGTTTCTCATAAAAACCGCCATTTTTCCAGGGTTTATTTGTAAATTCCATTTTCCTTTTTTGTGAAATAATTCTCAAATTTTAGACTAAGAAAAATCTTGAAACTTTTACAGCTAATTATCTAATTGTAATTACACCATTACCAATCATCCTTCATTTTTATATTGACAATGTCCGATTCACAATGGTACCCTTAAAGGTTTTGCTCATCAAGTTGTATAAAATGCACATTTTTATCATTTTTAAAGGGATAGACCGGCTATGTAAGGTAGTTTAACTGAAGTGTTGCAGTGTTGTGGACAAATTCTTTAGGATTCATTTGAGACATATAAAACATGATCTGTAAATCCTAAGTTTGAGCGCAAAGTCGACGCTCAAAATCGCACTTTTGGGTGGATAGGTTTTCAGAATTGTTTTTTATTAATTATTAAATAACGACAAAAAATGCAAACAAAATTCTACAGTAAACTAACTAGTTGTTTAGGATCAGGTTGAGAAAATACAAATTAATCTTATCATCGAAAATAAGTAATCTGGTTCAACTATTAGTTTCATATAATCTCTCATTATTTAAAAATATTTTATGCAGATTTTCTGGAATTTTTATTAAAAAGACGACATTTGAAAAATTTGTAGAAATCTGCCAAAAAATTACTAATAAGAAACAAATATAATGATGAAAATTAAATAATTGATTCTAGAATTGAATTATTGTCAAATTTCTTTTGGGAAACATATGGTCCTAACCATCGAACTAGTTTACTGCATAATTTTTACTTTATTTTTCGTCGTCGTTATTCAATAATTTAAAAAAAACCGACTCTGAAAACGCCCACCCAAATTCATGATTTTGAACGTCGACTATGCACTCAAACTCAGTAATTATACATCGTGGAAATGTTTTTTATGTCTCAAATGAATCTTAAAGAGTATGTCCACAACACTGCATACTCAGTTTAGCTACCTTACATAGCCGGTCTGTCCCTTTAAAACTGATCATCTTCAATTGTGTGTTCTCTACAAAAAGTGACTTGTGCATTTCTGCTCCTGGTAAACAGTGTAAGAATTGTCAAAATTAAACAATTTTTAAAGTATAAAAATAGCTTACAGTTTTTGACCAGGTTTAAAGGGTACCGTTGTGAACAAGACAAAGCCCGCTTTAAATGGAGAGCTACTTAAAATTACAAAGACAGTCCCTTTAAGAAGATTGTCTATACCATATAGTATTGTTGTAACTAGGATATCCTGGTTCCTATGGACCCCCTCCACCTCCACCTACACCAGCTGTTCAAGGATATAAGCCAGTATCCCCTCCCCCTGGCGTATGGTCGTACTTAGGGTTTACAGCGAAAAGAAATCGTTTCGTATTTTTTACATTTCGTTCGCTTACGAAAAGTGCGAAAATTTCGCGAAAAATATTGCAAAAAAGACTAAATTTCGAGAATACAAGACGCATTTTCCGGGAAGAATTCGATTGATGGATTATCACGAAATATAAAACGAACTCAAAAAGATAGTTAGAGGAATCAAATTCTCTTTATCAAACATTTATTGAAGTAAAGGAAGAGAAATTATCAATATGACATAATAAAGATGCGAATATTGAGCTCTCAGAAGCAGAGAATTCAACAAGCTTTTTTGCGAAATTAATTGTTGCAGCTACAACAGGAAATTTATCGAAAAAGTTCGTGAAATGCAAGCAAACATTTTCGAATTTTCTCGCATTTATTCGCGAAACGTTTCGTTTGCTGTAAATCCTAGTGTACATTTTCATTAATATATCGGCGTTGATATCTATAGAAAGCTAAGAAAATTCACAGCATTCGCTTGCTTTCTTTTACAGGGTACTACATGTATTGACTTCATAGCGGACCTAGCGCCTTTAGTGTGAGAAATGTTTATAAAATCTACATCTACCTGAATCCGCTTGTACTCAAGAACACCTATACTTTAATCCTTATAACTTTATTATTCTAATATTCTAATAAATCCACCATTTTATATTTCAGACAGTACGGTGTACGACGGGGCAGTACAACAGCCCGTCCCTCCCCCCCTCCCACCTACTATTTAGAGAAGGGACGTCGAAGGTAAAATATTTATTTATGTCATTGTAATGGGTATTATTAAGTTTTTGCCGGGATTTTTATTTTTTCTAGTTTGGTGAGATGTGAAAATACTTTTATTTTGATCGAAAACAAACTAGAAAAATTTAAAATCATAGCAAAAACTTTTTCGCACGCATGATACCCATTTCAATAACAATTATAATTTTATTCAGTTTTACTCAAATTATTTAAAAGCAGGTCGATAAAGTTACTTAAACACCCTGATGAAATTTGAAATTTGATGAAAAAGTTACTTGTTCGCCCTGTGTTGTAGGGCGATAAAGTCAATTAATCACCCAACAACGGGAAATTTTATCCGTTAAAAACTTTAAAAAACATTAAAAAACCTTGTAAATTTTTTTTCTAGATTCGGAAACCAGTTAGGGTACCGGAGCCTGTAGGTAAATAAGTTTTTTTGTGACTTGCGACAAGCATTACAGACCCAGGGGATGTTATATTTGGTAACTATTCCTTAATGGGAAAAATTACAAATTTGATAATTTGGAAGGACGTCTTTTTTGTAAAAGATTACAGTGTGACCCAGACAATTGCGGAATAGTTAAAGAAACCTTAAAAACATCTACGTGAGTAAAAGTTAAAATATTTAACTTGAGCCTAACAGTTTTCCACATTTCCACAGTATACCTTTTCTAATTGATGTTTTGATTTTTAAAACAATTTCTACAAAAATCCCCCCCCCTTTCGAAAGGTAAACATTGATTGATGTTTCATTTAGAAAAAAACATAATTTGACTTATTAGAGAAATTGTTGAAACATGAAGTAAACTAAATCGGTGTCTTTGTTTTACCATCACAATATCATTAAGAAAATCTGCGAATTTTCTTTGAAATACAAATAAAATTGAACACGTACATTAGACTCTAATTTTCTAATCTGCAACTAATAACTGATGTGCAACTTGATGTCATAAACTTTTGATATTTTTATATTTACACCAACAGGTTGCAAAGATTTAGGGATTTAAAAATTGTAGATATAGGCAAGTGTTCAGCTCCCTCACAATTTAAAACCCAAACTTTTTTGGCGTAATTCGATGTTAAACTTTAAAGGGAAAAGGGAGTGTTCGCGAAAAATGATAGCAGTCTTTTTTCATCTGATGTTTGAGTAAAAGAGAAAATGGAATTTAAAAAAATTCCAAAAAAATTACGATAAAAACTTCTCGAATCAAATTCGGATCACTCCTATAAAGTTAAAAATATCATAATTTTTAATTTTAATCTTGACGTATTTTGTCGGACAATTATTTAGCCGCTAGATGTCTCTCGCATACTAAATCTCGTGGATTTGACTGGACTTCTCCGCTTTAAGCGAAGAACGTTTTCTACAATTTATTCAATTTACTCAAACATCAGATGAAAAGCAAATGATATCATTCATAACCAAATCTAATTCTGACTTAACCTTAACCCTCTTTCATTTTTCGCGAACACTCTCTTTACGCTTAAGCTTTTATATTGCATCTCTAAAACGTTTATAGCGTTTAGACTTATTTTAGTATTTAAAAAAAATTAAAAAATCTATTTTTTGTTTGACATTTTGTTTGTTTGTTTAAGCTGCTCCCCAA